GTTGTTTGAAGGTTTGATTGTGTGTACCTAAGTTGAGGTTACTCTCTACTGTCTTGCTTTTTCTTTTCCTGTAGTTTGGTGCTGCCTGCCCTTTCATGGTTATGTTGGGTTTCACTTTCTGTGTGCAGAATCCCTTGAAGAATCTTTTGTAGTGGTGGCTTTGTGGTCACATATTGTTTTAGTTTCTGCTTATCATGGAAGACTTTTATTGCTCCATCTATTTTGAATGATAGTTTTGCTGGGTAGAGTATCCTGGGGTTGAAGTTATTTTCATTCAGTGCCCGGAAGATCTCACCCCAAGCTCTTCTTGCTTTTAATGTTTCTGTTGAGAAGTCTGCTGTGATTTTGATGGGTTTACTTTTGTATGTTTTCGTTTTTTCTCTCTTACAGCCTTCAATATTCTTTCTCTAGTTTTTTTTAGTTGTTTTAATGATGACATGCCGTGGGGTAGTTCTATTTTGATCTGGTCTGTTTGGTGTTCTGGAGGCCTCTTGCATCTGTATGAAAATAGATTTCTCTAGATTTTGGAAATTTTCTGTTATTATTTTGTTGAATATATTACGCATTCCCTTCGCTTGCATCTCTTCTCCTTCTTCAATGCCCAGGATTCTTAGGTTTGGTCTTTTGATGGAGTCAGTGAGTTCTTGCATTTTCTTTTCACAGGTCTTGAGTTGTTTAACTATACTTCTTCAGTTTTTCCTTTAATTACCATTTCATATTCGAGTTCTGAGATTCTGTCTTCTGTTTGTTCTGTTCTGCTAGATTGGCCTTCCATTTTGTTTTGCAATTCTCTTTCATTCTTTTTTCTGAGGTTTTCCATATCTTGGGTCGTTTCCTCTTTAATGTTGTCTATTTTTGTTCTGAGTTCATTTATCTCTTTATTGTGTTCTTTGTTTCACTTTGGTGTTTATACAGTGCTTCTATGGTTTCTTTTATTTCTTCTTGTGCTTTTTCAGATTCTCTATTTTTGTTATCTTGGAATTTCTTGAGTGTCTCCTGTACAGTTTGATTGACCATATCCAGTATCATCTCTATAAAATTCTCATTGAGTACCTGTAGTATTTCTTCTTTTCGATTATTTTTGTGGGCTTCATTGGGTTCTTTGGCATAGTTTATCTTCATTTTGTTGGAGTCTGGATCTGAGTATCTGTTTTCTTCATTTCCCTCTGGTTCCTGTACTAATTTTTTGCTGTGGGGAAACTGGTTTCCCTATTTTTTCTGTCTTCCTGTCATTGCCTTTGGTGTTGTTATTGTCCCTGTACTGTGTGCAATTAAGTATTTTCTAGCTTGTAATAATAACAATGGTAATATTTAGAATGGAAGGGTGAGCTGAGATGGAAAGCAAGAAGTTAAAGAAAAGGGAAAAACAAATAAACAAGTAGAAAAAACAAACAAAAAGTTTCAAAGATATAAACAAGGAGAGATAGTGTACTAATCAACAGTAAGCTGAAGAGGCATTGGAGAGACAGAGGATTGAAGATAAAAAATAAAATAAATACATAAAAATAAATAAATGAAAAAAAGATCTCCAAGTTCAAATGTAATAAAGTTTCAGTCTTAATAATTTTGGTGTTAGTTCCTCAGCCTCCAATCCTGGAGATGGTGTCTCAGAAGTAGTTCTGTCTTTGTCTCATCAAAGGGGAAAAAAACTTAAAAAAAAAAAAACCAAACAAAAAAACCCCACCTAGTGTCCCAAGTTCAAATGCAATACAGTTTCAGTAAGTTTTTCAGCATGCAGGTGTAGTTCGGTTGTTTTCTCATCAAAGGTAGGGAGCTAAAAAAAAAAGAGTCTGGAGACAGTTCTGTGAATGGCTATCTGTGGCTGTGGCTCACCTGCCGGCTGCTGTCAGCCTGCTGTTGCTGGAGGCATTGTTTATGCAGATCTCTGGGGTGAGCTTAGCACTCACCTGGCCCTGCAGGCTGTGTTTACTCAGAGTTCTCCTGTGCGCGATCCCACTGCTACAAGCTTTCCCCTTTCCAAGCACACTGGGGGAGGTGACACTGCACCCACTTCTCAGGCTGCGTGTTTATTTACAGTTCACATGGGAAGTGGGTCTTCCCCCCTTTCCTGTGGAGTTTTCCTCCCACCGCCACTTTTACAAGCTTTCCCGCTCCTCGTTGCTGGGCGTGTGCCGCTGCTCCTATCTTCTCCAGCTGGCTTGTTGTGAGGGATTTCCCCTCCCTGCCTCTTCGGTGTTCAAGGTACCCCGTCCTCTTTGCTATGTGTCTTTTTTTGTTGTTATTGCTTATTATTCAGGTTTTTTTTCTTTTTTCCCTGGGTGGGGGTCGGTCTGTCCAGGGGGCTATGCTGATTTGTCTCAGGGCTGTCTGTGGGAGTACCGTCTTAGCTCACCTTGTGTTCTGCGTCTTCCCAAGCCGTCTGGGCGCTAGCATCTGGCAGTGGCGTAGGATCCCTCCTGGTTTCTCCGTTTAATGTGAAGTGGAGGTGCTATGCGCAGGCTGGAGGTGTGGAGGTGTCAAAGTTTTGCCTCTTCTCACTGGTTTTTCCTGTAAGGTGTATCTCCAGCGTCTCTCCAAGATTTTACTTTAGGAGGCATGCTTTCTGCTTCCTCCCTCTAGCTGCCATCTTGGAATCTCCCCATAACTTCATTTTAATATTAAAAATTGGTCTGTGGGGGTCTGTGGCTCAGGTAGAAGAGTGCCTACCTAGCAAGCATAAGACCCAGTACCACCAAAATAAATAAATAGGTCTGTGGGAACGATTTAAAATTAACTTCCTAGTAGATTCTGTGATCTGACCACACTTCACACTGGTGAATATTAAGTACTTTTAGCTTTGGGATAGTAGTACAAGTAGCAACAATCCTTAAATTTTCTAATCTTTCCTGTGACTTGCATGATTGTAGCTCTTAGATAAGGACAATTGGGTAGTAGAAACTTGCCACTTAATAAAGTGAAGCTCAATTATTAAAACCTTAGGGTGGGCATTCAATTTATATTATTGAATTAATCAGGGAAGGTGTTAGAATCCTTCTTTAGGAAAAAAAAAAAAAGGTTAAGTTTAGAAGGGATGCTTGAAAGCCCAATGTTTTAAAACTAGAAAACTCAGCAACCTCACAACTCATCTTTTCCAGACTACATAACCTGAGGCAGGAAACAAAGACTAATGTTTGCTCAAAAAAAAAATTTTTTTTTTGGTGGAACTGGGGTTTGAATTGAAGGCTTTGCACTTGCAATGCAGGCACTCTACTGTTTGAGCCAAACCTCTAGTCCTGCTCAGATTTATTTTACAATGTAACAGGTTTCTGTATCTTTAAAAGTTGAACTTTCTTCCTTAGAGCATTGTATTGAAATGACATCCAAAACTGTCTCCACTCCTGTGTGAAGTTGTACCCCTCTCACATCTGTACTCTAAGGTGCCTGGCACATAGGTGAGGAAATATGCATCTGAAAGACTAAACATTTGTGAAAGAAGCTTTTTGACTAATCTAGCTTAAAAATGATATGTCTGTCATTTGTTCCAAATCTTTGTCCAGCATTTCAACATGAGGATGACAGGTTCAAGACAGATCTAGGCTACACAGTGAGATGCTGTCTCAAAAGAAAAAAGACAAACAACCAAACCCCAAAATAACAACAAACTCAACTATTTCTAATCTACAGCTTTATACTGACTGGTCAGAAGGATCCTAGAAAACTCCTCTTCCTAGAACTTTAACAAGCAGCTTTTCCCAGAAAAGGAAAATATAGTAAAAACTAGATGTACCGCTTATTAGCAGTTTTGACAGGTAAGATATTGGAATGTTGACATAACTGCTGACATTTAAAATCTCTCTATTGTAACATTTGTTACAGTAATAGTCAACAGTAAGGTCTTTAGGGTTCCATATCAGTTCTTCTCCTTTCTTACTCAGTTTCTGATGGTGTGATCCTGGGCAAATTACTTAACCTGTGAGTCCTTTCTTTCTTAATTTTTTTTTTTTTTTTGCAGTGATAGAGATCAAACCCAGAGCCTCAGCATACTAAGCAAGTGTTTATCACTGAGCTATATCCCCAGTCCTTTGTTTTTTTAATGGAGATGATTTTACTTTTCTCATACTGTTATTCTGATTAAACAAGGTAATATGTGAAAGCAATTGGCACAATAGAAACCTGGCATGTAGTGAAGTTTTAATAAACAACTCTGACTACTATCATCCTTAATATCCCTGTTGTGTTAACAAAACAATTCTTCAATTCATAGTATTTGACGATTGGGTCCTCTGATGTATTCCTGGTACCTTTTTTTGCCTTTTTTTCTTTTTTCAGTGCTGGGATTGAACCTAAGGCTTCATGCATACTAAGAAAGCACTGACCCACTGAGTGACATCTCCAGCCCTTCTAATATTTTAATTCTAAATTAAAATCTCATAATTTCTAAAAAGAAAAAAAAATTTTAAGAAGACCAAATGGAAAGATTTTCTTTGTTGTTTCAGTGAATTTGCTCTGTAATTTATTGTATTTCAGTTCTGTCAAAAAGTGTAAATGTCAGTGTCTTGGCAATGTCTTTTCTTGCTTACCCTGAAAAAAAGTTCATTTTAAGCAGAAGGTACATAATTGGTTTTCCTGCCTCATTTTTTTCTAGTATATCTCATATTTCCCTGCCAGATTAACCTTCATGAAATGCCATTTATATTGTCCCAGCTGCTTACTGGGCCATGTTCAAATGCCTCTGATCAGCATTTAAGTCTGTTCATCTCTCCTCTTGAGATGGGTGAACTATATTTATTCTACCTATACTTTGTTTATAGCTGTTTCTACTGTGATTATTTCCTTAAATTCTCTACTCTTTAAACTAGGGCACTCTGCTGCTTTCTTAGAACTCCTATAGCACTTATTATCTACAATTTTAGTATTATTCTAAAGTGCTCTTTTATTTGCTAATTGATTCTTGAATCTTATTTTATTAAGCAAACTATAAATTCTTTGGCAGGGCCAGCATCCAGTCCTCGATGAGTATTTATGAGTTACTGAGTCATCATTCTGTGTTTCAATCATAGGATATGAATATGATATTGTTGATGATGGACATCAACCCAGGTCACACTGTTTTGGAAGCTGGCTCAGGTTCTGGTGGAATGAGCTTGTTTTTATCCAAAGCAGGTAAGACTGAGATAAATGACTAGATTTAGATGACAAAGAAACAACTCAGTTTGTTTAAAATAACAAAGGGATTAAGATATTTGGGGAAATCCATAACTTTGTGATAGTGTTCTTCTCAAAACCAAGTGAAAGCAACTATTTTTCTTTCTATCGTGCACATTTATTGCAGTTACTCTTTGTACCCTCCCTCCGTTTTCTTTGTTTTCTCTCAATCCTTCCATACTTTCTCTCTCTCTCCCTCTCTCTCTCTTTTTGCAAGACTGGGGTTTGAATTCAGGGCGCTATTGCTTGAGCCAGTACTATGTAACCCAGGCTGGCCTTGAACTTGTGATCCTCCTGCCTCAGCCTTCCAAGTGCTAGAATTACAGGTGTATACCACGACACCTAACAAAATTTTTCCTTTAAGAAAGTCTAAGAGTGCTGAGTGCCAGTAGCACATGGCTATAATCCTAGCTACTCAGGAGGCAGCGATCAGGAGGATCTCGGTTCAAAGCCAACCTAGGGAAATAGTTCATGAGACTATTCAAAAAAAACCAATCACAAAAAAGGGCTAATGGAGTGGCTTAAGATGTAGGTTCTCACTTCAAGCCACAGTACCACAAAAAGAAAGAAACAAAGTAAGTTTAAAAGCAAAATGAACTTGAGATGTGGCTCAAGCAGTAAAGTGCCTGCTTTGCACGTGCAGAGCCCTGAGTTTAAAACCTTAGTCCCACCCAAAAAAAAAAAGAAAGTCTAAAAATTGTCAATTAGAAAATCTTCTGCATGAAGGAGGTGCTGATCAAAAATCAAGAGGTATGTATTAAACATACCTTTTCTTGTTCCTACTACTCAATTTTTGGTTACTGTTATCCTAGTTACCTCTGAGGTCAGGTTACTCTACCTACCTGTACATGTTCCCTTCTTACCTAATAATAGACCACTAAGCAGTAGTAGTACTCTCTGGGTAGATTGCATGAAGATTATAGGTAGAAATTGAAATTCAATTTATACATTTTGTTCTTTGACCTAATGGCATCACATTTGAATATAATCCAGATTATACTAAGTCAGTAAATTCATACTGGGCTCCTCAAATCTTCCATTTGACACTTTTTTTTTAGTGGTGGTACTGGGGTTTGAACTCTGCCTAGTGTTTGCTAGGCAGGCAATTTACCACTTAAACCATACCCCTCCCCCCAATCCTATTTTGCTCTAATTATTTTTCAGGTAAGATCTGGCATTTTGCTAGGGGCTGGCCTCAGACCTGATCCTTCTATCTATGGCCTCCCATGTTACAGGGATGACAGATGCATGCCATCACCTGTGGCTTGTTTGTTAGGTGGGATCTTTTTAACATTTTGCCTAGGCTGGCCTTGAACTGCAATCCTTCTGATTTCTGCCTTCTGAGCACCTAGAATTACAGACATGAGCCACTGCTCATGGCCTCTTTGGCTCCTTTTTATACAGAAAGGTAGTCCTTTCTTCAAAATAAATGACAAATTCCTAAATGCATGTTTTCATTTTACAAAGTGAATTTATAAAAATTTGTCAGACAGGAGAAGTGGCCATGTTTCCAGTATCAGAGGAATGGCATGGCATGAACAATTCCAGACTATGAATGATCAAGAAATTATTGTTGCTGGGTGTTGGTGACTCATACCTGTAAGCCTAGCTACTGAAGAGGCAGAGCTCAGGAGGATTGAGGTTCGAAGCCAGCTCAGGCAAATAGTTCACGAAATCCTATCTCGAAAAAACCCATAACAAAAATGGCTGGTAGAGTGGCTTGAGGTATAGGCCCTGAGTTCAAATCCCATACCTTTGAGATGGATATTTTTTTCTCTGTATTTTCCCGGTTGTTTAGTTTATGCTGCTATTAATGTTAATTTTATCCTTCGAGCACATGATGACTTATACCTAGAGATACATTTCAAAAGACCTTCTGGAATTTAAAGTTTTCATTAGTAAACTATGGACTGCTTGATCTGGGGTAGCCTTCAATTAGAACCCAGTGATCTTAGATAGAGGTAGGCAGAAAGTTAAAATGTAGTGCTCTTCTCTGAAATTAAAGTACTACTATGATAAACAATTTGAAAATTCACCAGATACATATAAAAATAGAAATACCTTTTAAATATATAAAAGGTTCAAGCTTATCCATAATAAAAGGATGCAAACTAAAACTATAATGATCGGCTAGGAATGGTGGTAACATGCCTGCAGTCCCAACACTCAGGAAGCTAAGGTGAGAGAATCACACTTTGGAGACCAGTAGGGGCTACGTAGTATTCCAGGCCAGCCTTGGCTACATAGTGGGAGCCTGTCTCAAAGAAAAAGAAAAAAAAAGCCACAATGATAAATTTTATTCACTTTTTGGATTGACACAGATTAAAAAGTTTGATAAGTTTTGGTTGGGGAGTTTATGTAGAAACAGGCACCTAACACATTGTTGGTACCACTTGTTTGGAGAACAATGTTAATATTTTTCAAAATAAATTTCACATAGCCTTGAGCCAACAATTCTATTTTTGGTAATTTACCCTGTACATAAAGTCCTGTTACAAAGACTTAGGCAGAAGAATGTTCATTTTGCTGTATTGCAGTGTTGTTTGTAGTAGCATAAGACTAGAAACAACAAAAATAATTGAAAATATAAAAAAAGAGAGATCGAGAAAGGAAAAAAAAGACTAGAAACAAGCTAAGTCTTCATCATTAGGTGACTGGTTAAATAAATTAGTGCATAGCCACACAGTGGAATATAATAGTTGTTGAAAAGAATGCAATACATCGTAATTGCTGAAATGCCATTGGTAAATAAGAGGGAATCTGCAGGACAGTGTATTTTAGCCATGGTGTCTGTTAAAATCAGAGAGTTACTTGTATAGGCATCAAGTAGCCTGTGAAGCGTAACTGGTAATATGGCTGCCTTCAATGAAGAAGGAGGGGAGAGAGACTTGTAACCTTGGACTATTAGAATTTTTCCCACATACATTTAATATCTTTGCAAAATAAATTCTTCATACCTTTTAAAGTAAACTAATGCTATGAAATACCATAAATTATTTTTTACTTAAGTTGGATCACAAGGACAAGTCCTAAGTTTTGAAATACGAAAAGACCACCATGATCTGGCTAAGAAGAATTACAAACAGTGGCGTGATTCATGGAAACTAAGTCACGTAGAAGAATGGCCAGACAATGTGCATTTTATTCACAGGGATATTTCAGGAGCCACTGAAGACATAAAATCTTTAACATTTGATGCGGTAAGTTTTCTAACGTGAGTTCTATGTTATGTTGAATACAAGGAAAACAAGGATCAGGCTTCTTTGTATGGACAGTGGTGTTCATTATTTTTGCCTTACCTTCTGTATTGGGGAAAGAATATTTTCCTTTAATGCTGTTTGGGCTTGAGGCCAAGAGACAACTGAACCAGGTGCCAAAGTTGTCCATGAATGTGGAATAATGACCAAAGACTATGAAGAGAAATTCAATACCGTGAACCTTAGCATGCCAGATAAAGAATTGATAATTTGGAAGCAGCATTGAGAACATACTAACACCAGTGTTTAATCTCAGTTGTAAGATTTGGAGGATAAATAGCCTCCATTTGAGACAGAATAGGCAAGAGGCATCTTTAGAGGTTAAAGACAGGATATAGAGAGTTGTGTCCATAAAAGATGTTGAGGGCTAGGGGCATAGCTCAAGTGATAGCAAGTGGGAGGTCTTGGGTTCGTTCCCCAGTACTGAAAAAAAAAGAAAAAATTATTGAGGATAGAGGCATTGATCATGAACAAAGCTCCAGAAAGTAGAGGAATTTGTAGCAATACAAGGTTGAGTTGGGGGAAGTAGTAGAAAGTATGAAAATAAAAGGGTAGATGAAAAGAAAGGATATTTTGAGCTGTGACCAAATATGATGGAGATGTTAGAAACAGAGCTGTTTTCAAAGTTTCAGAATGCTAGTGTCTTATCCTTCATGATGCCACTTAAAGAGTTCAGAGTTTGACACTATGGATTTAGGCCTGGGTGAGGTGTCCTTCCTTGTCCTCCCTTTTCATTAATTGAAAAAAATGAAGCTAAGTTCAAAGAGCAAATAAAATTATTTTTATCAGCATTAATTCCTGTTTTCCCCCCAACTGCACTGAGGTACTAGAGATTGAACTCAGTCTTGTGCTTACACTCTACCATTTGAGCCATGTCCCCCCTCTCTTAATATAATTAAAGCCTATAGTTTTATTGACCACAGTTCTTTTATCTTTGTTTGACTTGCATGTTACAGCTCAGTAAGGGAAAAGGACTCTACTTAGGTCATCACAAGAATGTCAAAAATACCTGGGAGATTAATTGGGTATTATAATTTTGCTTGCTGAGCATGAAACACAACAAAAGGGTTTTAATGATATTGTTGAAGCTTTGTAGAAAATTGTTGAACCATCCCTGATCTAAAAAGAATACTCCTTATTAGATTTGTACAGTTGAGTCTTTTTTGAATAGTAGTGCCAAATGAATTGGCATGGGAGAATATAGAAGGAGTGGTGTCTATACTGCTGCGAAGAGTTACATATTATTAGGGCTAAGGAATTATAGTTAGGGTTTATACATAAACCATAATACAGAACTATCAAATAAAAGCTTTATCATTAACAATTATTTTGCTGGGTGCCAGTGGCTTCTCAGCCACTGTAATTTTAGCTTCTCAGGGGGCAGAAATCAGGAGATGCAGTTCCAAACCAGCCTACGAGCTGTTGTGTTGTGTAGGGTCTCGAAAATACCTAACACAAAAGAGCTGGTGGAGTGGCTCAAGGTGTAGGCCGAGTTCAAGCCCTAGTACCGCAAAAAAATATATATATATATTTTTTATGGACTAGAGGTATGGCTCAAGCCATAGAGCATCTGCCTAGCAAGCACAAGACCCTGAATTTAAACCTTAGTACCACCAAAAGAAAAATAAAATAATTACTTTTGTGTGGGAAAGTCTTTAAAAATTGCCAGTTGATAAAAGTACTGCTTAAAAGTAGGTGCCTGATCAAAAGCAAAAAGGTATACATTAAACATAAATTTCTTTTCATGTTCCCACCACTTTTCTAGTTATGGTTTTCCTATTTGATTGTTGCTATTGCTCTCTTTAAATTCCTCTCCTAGCTCTGCCATCTCACTTCTTGGGTCTTCCTTCTTCCAATCCATTCTCTCATTTCTACATTAATCTTCCTAAGATATAGTACTGGTATTGACACTTTTCTGCTGAAAAACACAGGAGCTTTTCATTCAAAGACTTTTGGTATCCTTTAGAAGCTGATCTCAGCCTTCCTTTCTAACTCCAGTCCTTCATGTAACCTGCTTATGCTACTGCTAACCAAAGTGGTGGTAACTAAATAAAAAAGATGTTAAGCTGGGCGTGGTGGCTCATGCCTGTAATCCTAGCATTTGAGGAGGCTGAGGTATTTTTTTTTTAAACAAATTTTGGAAACAGCTTGACAAACTATCTGAAGAGAAATTAACACAATGGAATATTAACATTAAAACTATATATTTATTATTATTATTTGGCTATACTGGGATTTGAACTCAGGGCCTCATGCTTGCTAGGCAGGTGCTCTACCATTTGAGCCCAGTAAATGTTTTATAGCTACATATCACTACATCTCAAAGACAAAGTGCTTAGTGGAAAAAGCATTACAAAAGAAAATGTATGGGATGGCCACATATCTATAAAATTTCAAACTACACAACATGTTTGTAGCTACATACATATGTTGTAAAATTGTAAGATTATTCAGGATATTTGTAAGGAAAGAAAATAATGGAAAAGGAATAGAGATAAATAAATTTTGGAGTCTATTCAGCCTGATTCACTGCCAGGCTCCATAATTGCCAGTATGACCTGGGATAAGTTAATCTTTCTATGCCTCAATCACCTATATTTACAATAAAAATAATAGTACATATTTCATGAAGTACTTGAGGATTAAATGAGAGAAGTCATGTAAAGTACATAGAATAGTGCTTGATATGTAGTAGCATTAAATAGATGTTAGCTCTGATTTTCATCATTATGATTATCCTTCCTTGCCCTTTTCTCCACCTGTTTAATTCTACTCTCCTTTCAAAGCTTACATCAAAGGTCATCTGTTTCATGGAAGATGCCTTAGTTATCTAGCTGGAGGATTATCACCTTTCTCTGAATCCCTTTGTTTCTTGATTCAACACACATTTATTAGGACCTGCTGTGTGCTATGTACTGAAAGTAATAACTTTCAGTCTAGAAGAAAAGATATAAACAATGAGTAGAAAGACTCGGAAGTGTAAAACACCGTGGTTTTTGAGTTGAGTACAATAAGGAGATGAAATGCAGTTTTGAGAGGCTAAATAAAGAATGTTGTGGATGTGTCAAACTAGAGTACATGGACATTATCCTGTAGAGAACGGGAAACTACTGATGAATTTTTAAAAAGGAGAGGGGAGGGTCCTGATTCCTGTTTTAAGAGCATTCTGGTAGAAGAATTAAGGCTGGGAGTCTATACAGAAAGCTCTTATGCTATTTCAGCAAGATATGATGAGGTCTTGACCTATGGCATAGCAGTAGAATTCATTTGAAGAGCACTGAAGAGGTAGATTTGTGGTATTTTAATTCAAATAGAAGCCTCAAAACCTCACAGATTTCTGAAGATAACTCAAAACAAAAAAAAGGATGATTCAAGTTTCTGATTTGAGTGACTGGATAATTGGTAATGTTGCTAATTGAGAATAGAGCGTTCAAGAGGACTAGCAGGTTTCTTGGCTTTAATATATGTATTTACACTGCTATTTGCAGTTGTCGGCCACCATCATCTTTTCATTCTCATGGTCTTCGGTATATAGAATTTAAAAAATAAGACAGAGTATACTTAATATCATGGAGTTATACATTTAGTTAAAATGTACACTTAGTTAAAATTAGACAAATTTTGTTTATTTTACTATCCACAAAGAAGTTTTTAAAAAACCAGATCATTCGGGTCTCATGAGAAATTTTCTGAGGTGACATTGAGCTGTGCACTCTAATATGGGAGCCCTTGTTTCTTTCCATCCCTTACTCTGATTTCCTTCTCAGCTTTCATCACCACCTGAGAGCACATCATAGAACAGGTGAGAAATTAGTTTTTCCTCATGCAAATTAAACTCAGGAGAGCAGAGACTTTGAGCATCTACTTCAAAGTTCTTCAACATCCCAGCACTCTAAGCTGGACACATACTTGGAGGCGTTTAGTGACTTTCTCCTCTGAGTGAAGACATCTCTAAAAGAGAATGGAGAGAAGTAAGGACCAGGTGGCAAAGTGTAAGATAGCATTGTGTGCTAGGATATCTTGTCCAAAAGGAGTTTGTTCCTGGAGTGAAGAAGTAGGAAGGACCAGAGGTTAGGGATCTGACATATCATCAGACGTGTAGATAACTGGAGTAGACATCCTGGGAAGAATAGAGTGACCTTCTAAAGCCCTGGAGAGACAGGGACCTGAACTGTACCTAACAAAGTACATCTATCTTCCTGGGTCCAAACCATATGGTACCTATGCTATCCCACTTCCCCAGGCCCCTCGCAAAATCTCTCTTCAGCTTGCCTTAAAGTCACACCTTCCTGAGCAGGATATTTCTTAATTGTAATTCCCCAACTAATTGTTTTCAGAACCAAGTCCTTTGATGGTTTTATTGTCTCTAAATTTACACCAGTCTCTAATGACTTCAGAGCAGGAGGGTTTGGGAAGTGAGCAGCCCAGGATGAAGGCAGGAGATTGCAACTTCTAAACCTGTGGGAGCAGACTTTCCTCTAAGTTCCCACAGGTTGGGGATGGGTCCTGCAATCTCTGTCTTGGGACAGCAGGCTAAATGGATTGGAGTGGCCTCCCCTTTAAAAGCTCCCAAGCACACTTGTTCTCCTGTGTATGGGGCTGTTGATCCATGCAGCTCACCATTTTTCTGCCTGGCAACCACATCAGGAACCAAGTAGCTTTCAAGGCTAACGTTGATAAGGCTTAATTCTACACATACCAGCTCATCTGGAGACCAGTTTTTTGGTTTTTTTTTAAGTCAGATCATGTCATGCTTTAAAACTCTCTAGTGGCTTTTCCCTGAGTAAAGCTAAAGCCTTCAAGTTATGTAACCTGCAATCTCTCTCTCTTCCCCCAATCCCACCATAGACCTCACCTCTTTTTCTTTTTTTGCGGGGGGGCAATACTGGAGTTTGAACTCAGGGCTTCCCCCCCTTGCTAAGCAGGTGCTCTACTATGTGAGC